ATAATCAGGTGTTTTGAGGTATTTTTAAAATTAATATCCAAAGGAACGACAAGGTCGAGTAAAGATTTCTTGAGCGTGTAAAATTCGTAGCCACCACTTAAATAAAAAGGAGGTGAAAAAAAAATTGTTTTACTTAGAGTGATTTCCATGTGACCGGGCAAAGCGTTGCACTGGACTTTGAAAGGTGTTTTGATAATGGGAGGGTTATACACCTCCTGATCGAAAATGTTGTCCTCGGAGAGTGAAACATAGAGATTTGGTGTGATGAATACTTTACTCTGATTGCCGCTAGATTTTGTGGGTGAAGATGATAACGAAGAGGATAAATTACATTTCGAATAATTCCGAGACACGTTTTGATTAATAATATTAGATTAGGCTCATTAGAATAGTGTACAAAAGATAACGGACAAACGAAAACGACGTCTGTTCATGTTGGACGATTAACATAAACTAGCCTTGAGACTTATTGATAGTTATTGCAAATGCAATCTAATTTGAAATTGAAGGTGTGTAAAGTGTATTCGCACATCTGCGGGTATAATAGGGATTCGCGGTAATAATATATTTTCACCTTGGAATTTGCCATTTAAAATAATGGCTTGGATATTATTTTTCATTAATTTTTTAATGACTTATAGTGGCCCGTTGCACAGCCGTGGTGGGTCAAATTACAAAGCAAAATAATCGGAGACCCAACCTTCAGTTATAAATTATGCGGTGACATGCCTGGTAAATCCAATGAATTTAAGAACTCTGTTGGATAATTTACAGCTTCAGTAGCATCGCAAACTGTATCAATAGATTTGTATAACACCAAGTCTCCTGGTAACAAATGTTGTATCTTGAGATTCAATTCTTTGACGTCCACATTTTTTGCTGCTAAAACTGCTCTTTCTGCCAGCCACTCACGATTTGTGTTTTTTCTGTATAAATTGGGTAATATCTGGTCAATAAGAGCATCTTGCAAATCAATGATTGTGCAAAAATCGGTCGGTAATTGTATGCATCCCGTTACATCTGTAGTAACTTTCCCATCACCGATATCTAACTATTGTTTTGAGAATCTTTCGCACACAGCTTTTTTTGATTGAATCGCATGTATCGTAATCGTTTGCTCTCTATCTTTACATATATATGTTTACATATATATGTTTACATATATATGAATTGTTGACTAAGCTCACAACATTGTAAAATAACACTGTCTTGATCGCGTTAAATCATCAACAGATATGCATAATAATCCTTCGAACTAACATTCCTGTTTGTTTTGGCACCTGTTGTGGGATCTTGTTTAATATTTATGCAATACCCGTCATTTAATACCAAAAATAAAATTAATAGTTTTTAAATAGTTTTTAATAATTATTTAATAGTTTTTTAATAGTATAATTTATTAATTAATTTTCAATTGTGCAGTTATCGACCGGGTCAAAAATTATTAAATTAAACTACGATGTAATAAACATTAGTACTTAGGAGTTTAAAAAATAAATAAGAACCTATTCATTCGCAGACCTACCAAATCTGTATACCAAATTTAATTTAAATCGGTCAAGCCGTTTTGGAGGAGTATGGTCACAAACGCACACGAGATTTTTATATATACAGATTAAATGAGCATTGGGATTTGATTAGAAAATATAAGTGTTGTTAAAATAATACAATTGAAAATATTTTTCGAGTAATATAAGACAAAAATATATTAAATCTATGAAATAATTTCTTGCTAATTATATTTTTAAGTGATTAATTGAAAATTTATAAGGCACTCTACACTGTTATAAAAAAGTATCTTACGTATTATTTAATGTTATTTTAAAAAATTTACTATTATTATATTATTAGTATTAAAAAAAATTGCTATTACAAATAGCAAATTGTAACTTATGTTGTTACCTCAGCACAAGTATTGCTTAACGGAGTTGATCAATCAAAATATTTATACACTGTAATTTATGTATATCAACGATAAGTAGTAAAAAAATAAAAATAAAAATCAATCAACTGTTTTAACACACATTCATTGCCTGTTGCACGTGTACACTATTAACGTGTAGAGTACGCCTCAAATGGTACGGTCAACAATGAAAATGGTGACAATGTGACATTTTCAGTTTTGTTCGCGTTTGTTTGTTTTCGAATTAGATGTCGTGTAAATATTTCGGACAAATTATTAAATATATCACACGTTAAATTATAAACGACGTGACCGTGATGTAGGGCTCGTCTCACACGCGACGGTTTCGGCCGTACGATTAAATTCCATAAGAATTTTTTCTGAACTAAGGTTGTTTTTGCACACGACAGTTTTTTCCCCTTCAGCCGTCTACGTTCGGTTATATTTTACTTTAAAACTTTTAAATCAGTGGGCTATCAACATTAATCGAAGATGCACCATTGCCATGTGGCTTTTGTATCGTCGTTTGCGATTACGTAGAAACGACGTAACAATCGTATTTACTGGTTACACACGATTAACGAATACACGTTTCTCCCCATGCATTTTTGGTTCCATTTCTATCTTTGTAATGATCTTGATGCTTATCCCATTAGATTTACATTGCATTCCGCAATAGTGATTAACATTTCTGCCTTTTTATTACAAAAAGTGACAACGACCATGGACGGATCCACGGTGGGGGGGGGGGCTTGGCTGGGGACATGTTCCGCTGCCGTTGGAAAAAAAATAATGTTAAAAATAAAGTATATTTAGAAGAAATGAATAATATATGATAAAAATACATTTTAACAGTCTTGGTACAATATTGTTACATTATATTTTTTAGAAGACGTGAAGACCTTCACAAGATGCCCCTACATACATCGATGGTCAACTATATTATACAATTTTTCCTATAAATTGCCCCAACTGTAAAGAGATTCTGGATCCACCCTTGACACCGAGCAACTTTGACGACAGACGTTAAATGTATAATAATAGTTTTTTCGTGAAAGTGTACTCTAATTCACGATGTTCCTGATGAGACTTTCCAGACGTCGACACGGCTGTTTCACGGTGACCGTACGAAATAAATCTGTCAACCATACCACGTGAAAGCCCTATTACTTTCGTGTGTTTACTGTCCATTAAAATCCGTACGGACGAAACCGCGGTGTGTGTGTGTGTGTGTGTGTGTGTGTGTGTGTGTGTGTGTGTGAAACGAGCCTAACGTTACCGCAATATGGTTTGACCGGGACAGTACCGATTCAGAGTACAACGTCCAGATGTCCCGATAATGTGTTTCGGGAGAGTCAATCGCCTCAAAATAAGACTTCAATAATGTACCTATATTTGTATTTTATGTAACTCCAAGTCGAAAAAACATAATAATATTGTTATGATCAAATAAAAAGTTGAGCAATTTACTTACGAAATCGTGTGATTCAATTTGTATTGACGAAAACAATTTTTTTGAACAATTTAAAATGTTTAAAATCTGTTTCAAAGAACAAATTAAAGAATGGTATAATATATCACTCGAAGAACATTAGTTAGGTTAGCTTAAAATATTATAATGTGCGTTTTAATAATTGTACAATCAAAAAATCAACAAAAGTTATGTCAATAGGAAAAAATGAAAAATTAATTTGTCCCGGTTTTTGCCAAATAAAATAATATGACAACCCTACGGTTGATCGTAGACGAAATTTCTTATCATAAAAAATAACGTAATAATACTCACAAAAGCATAATAACAGTATGGTAGTCATTAACAACTAGTGCTCTGCATAGTTCGGTTTATATCGGTCTGGTCTGGTCCAGCCTTAACGTATATAAATTAGTGAAGGATTAGTTCAGTTCAACTCCATATTTTTATGAATGATATTCGGTCCTTTTCTGGTTTAAACTATAATAATTGCAGTTCGACCCGGTTTCTAAAATATAATCGGTTTGGCTTAGACTAGTCGGTTCAGGTTAGGCGGTTACGGCTCGTTTGAAATCCATCCAAACAATGGTATGTAATTTTAAAGATATTATTAGAATTAATAACACGTATATTATCATAGGAATCAATATTTTACCCCTGCGCCGTTGTTTTATGCATTTTGTAGGTGTAAATCTCAGAGCTGTTCACGGTACCTATGGATAATTATTATGGAACATATTTTCAAGAACCTTAGAATATAAAGGAATATAAAAATATCAAAGTGATTAAATTTGTATTTATATACAATGTAGCATGTATTTTTTTATGCACTGCATATATTAGTTTTATAATAATCTACTAGTAGCTTAAATCTATACCACTTACCAATCATGTGCTATAATTCAAAAGTTTTACGATTCGAAATTTTTTTAGTTTGAATCGTTTGTCCGGTTTATAAAATTATACTATGTTTTCGGTCCGGTCCGGTCTAAAAAACAATTTGGTAATCGGCTCTTTATTAACATTTTCAGTCCGGTTTGGTTTTTAAAATTACTGACCATGCATAACATTATTAACAACTATACGATATGAAGTTATATCGGCAAGTTCGATACTTATTGCGTCATCTATTATGTATCCAAACAATCAGTTGGCCGTCTTCAGACTGACCGAGTACGTGTTTTCTATTCAACCAACGACAATTTTAAATTTAAGTGTCCGATGGTAACCCGCGGTGCCGCAGTTGCGTTTACCCGTACGTGTACGGCTAACAAACAACGTGCAAAACGATATTATCGACAAGTCTGAGTGTATTAGTATTCATACGTATACGGAATCTCTTAGCAATAATAGAGGTCGGTTGTCATCCACATATTTTGCACAATTAGTTCTAGTGATCCTTGATGTTACGAAGTATCGAAAAAAATTATTTTAATTTTAATTTTTTATTATTACAATAAATTTATAATAATTTTTTGATTTTTCTAAATTTTATAAAAACATCTAGACTGCTTCCTTACGTCACACGGGTCACGTATTCGTTAGACATTTCATATTATATAACTTGATGAAATAATAATAATAATAATAATAATAATAATATCTATAAAATAAATATTGACTCACCGAAATTGCTTTTGTCGGTTTGTTCTGAAAAAAAAAATAAACAATATTTATTAATGTACACTCAATGTCTAACTGATCAAACTTACAAAATCCTATTTAATTATGTTTTTTATATTATTATTCTTTTTTTTACTTTTTTTTTTTTTACTTTCGGTCTAATAACAAAAGAAATTATTAGTTTTCATCTATATATTTCTATCAGGTATGCTCAGGGATACGCAGGTTTATGTAAGTTTTTTTTTTTTAGAAAATCTAGTTCGTGTGAGTACAACTTAAGTTGTTGAGTTTTATAACTCTGTGATTACAGAAGTGTTATTTTTAACTTTACAAAATTAAACTATACTTGATAAATTAACTAATTTTGTTTTAAATAAATGAAAAACCATATCACATTATTTTTTTTCTTATCAAAAAAATTGAAAAGATGAAGAAATTATTTTAAAAACCAGTCAATTCTTATACGAAAACGTGTTTCATTTTGTTCTGATTTGAATAAATTATCGCTGTTATTTTTCATTTTCATTTTATAAAAATATTTGTATGTTTTTTAGTTATTAGTTTTCAAATTCACTTCCAATGCACACGTCGTTAGGTGCGCACGCGTTTTTGTTGCTCTCGTGAAATGTTCAGTTTAACGTATCTAATCTTGACAGATTTTATCGAGTGTCATATCTATTGACGCATCTTCTAAAGCGGCACAAGTTAGCATTCTCAGCTGACTTCCACCTTCCTTCCGAATAATACAAGTAATAGAAACTTAATTTGACTATTATAATAAATAAATAAAATCCAACCGTATAATACCAACAAATTTAACATTCTCCGAGGCACCGTCCACACGGTGACCTTTGGACTCAGATAAGATATACTCATTATATCAGCTAACAATTCTACAAAACCGAAGCGAACCGTATCGCCTATCCAGATAATTAAATATCAAGTAGTTAAATAATGTAGCCCATAATGAATAAGAATAATAATTCTCAATCACAATCTGAAAATAAACGATCACTTCCACAATCGCCAAAAACTCCCACCTCTACCGCCTCCGCTATCACTTCCAAGAAAACAAAATACTTTATCTCTCCTAACCGATACTTTGCCCTCGCCAAGACTGACCTAGTGACGACCGACACCACTAATGTAAACAATGATAATCAAAATGATTTTGATGCACAAAGTCAGGGGTCACATCACTCTATCACACATACATTAAAGAAAAAATATTTGCCACCACCAATATTCATTAAGGGTGTAATACATTTCTCTGAATTAAGCAAAGCATTCTCAGATTTGATTGGTCCTAATAGTTTTAGTTGCAAGTCAACTTCTACACACCTTAAGCTTCAACCCAATACACCAGAAAATTACAGAAAAATAATTCATTTCCTTAATGAAAACGAGGTTCAATTTTACACGTATCAGCTACAATCTGATAAAGCATTTAGATTAGTAATCAGGAATCTCCACCCATCAACTCTTGTTTCCGAAATTAGCTCAGCATTAGAAGAAGTTGGCCACTCCGTAAGGAAAGTAACTAATATTCTGCACTACCAAACCAAGGACCCACTACCTCTGTTTTTTGTTAACCTCGAGCCCCATGGAAACAATAATGATATTTTTGATATAACTTCAATATTACATACAAAGATAAGAATTGAAGAGTCACATAAGCAGCGAAAAATTCCACAGTGCACTAAGTGCCAATCTTATGGTCACACCAAGAGCTACTGCTCTTATTCGCCTCGTTGTGTTAAATGTGGTGAATACCATCTCACGGCATCATGTACCAAATCACGCGAATCTCCTGCCATCTGTGCGTTATGCAATGGCAATCATCCGGCTAACTATAAGGGATGCACTATCTATAAAAAACTTCAACAAAGACACAGACATCCTTTCAATAAATCTTTCCAAGTAAATCTCTCAACAACAGCAGTTTCAACATCTCAAAACTCAGCTCAACCATCAACCAAAAAATCCGCCATTCACAAACACACGTGACCGAACTTATGCTAATGTAACAGGTAACGACACTACTCAAAATAAGTATGCCTATTCCCCCTCCTCCAACAATCTAGAAAATGTCATCTCCAAATTTCTAGACGATTTCAAGTCTATGATTAATCCTCTACTTGCTCTTCTGACTACAGTAATTTCTAAACTTTCAATAATCAAAAATGATTAATAACTCATATACCTCCAACTCTCTACTCATCCTATTATGGAACGCCAATGGCCTCAAAAAACACAGTAATGAACTCCTCATTATCCTTCAAGAAAAAAGAATAGATATTGTACTAATATCTGAAACTCACTTTACTAACGTATCTTACATTAATTTTCCCGGCTATAACGCTTATCGTGCAAATCACCCAGACAACACCGCGCACGCGGGTACAGCTATATTCATCAGATCCTCGCTCACATTCACTCCACTTCCTAATTTTATTACAACACACATTCGTTCATGCGCAATATTTTTAATTCTCAACCACATCCCTGATACAATAGCGGCAAATTACTGTCCACCAAAACATAAAATCACTATCAATCAATTTAATGAATACCTGTCTATCCTAAATAACAATTTTATTATAGGTGACGACCTAAACGCAAAACATATCCAATGGGGCTGCCGTGCTACAAACCCTAGAGGAAACACTCTCCTACAATCTATATCTCACTCTAACATATCTGTTCTGACGCCTCCTAATTATACATACTGGCTTACATTTCGCTACAAAAACCCCGATATATTGGAAATATTTATCACCAAAATTCCTAATAACCTCCATACTCAAACCCTCAACCTTTTAGACCCATGCTCAGACCACTCTCCAGTCTTTCTCATCATAGATTGTCAACCTCCCGACAAATCTACCACCACAGTCATATCCCAACATCAAATTAATTGGGAAAAATTTACTACATCCTTATCGGGAAAAACCGACTTAAAAAATCGTTTAAAAACAATAAATTATATCGATAACTCTGTTAATCTGCTCACACATAATATACAATCATCGGTATGGGAATCACCCAAACTACTACCTTCTAAAAAGTCACCTAACAATCTTCCTACTTATATAAGGACTTTAATCGCAGCAAAACGGCGTGCTCGTGCTGTTTGGCAAAACAGTAGATATCCATCAGATAAACGCCACTACAATTTTCTTGCATTAAAACTTAAACGACTTTTAGCTAACCACAGGTCCGAATCATATGCAACACATCTATCATCACATTCTCATAAAGATGGTACCCTTTGGAAAGCTACTAGAAAACTTTTCCATATCCATAATCCAACACCTACCTTACGCAATAACGATGGCAGCTGGGCTACATCTGAGATTGACCAAGCAAACATCTTCGCAAAACATCTAGTCAATACATTTCAGCCACACCTTGATATTCTATCTCAAAACAGAATCAAAAATGTTGAAAATTTTCTCGACTCTCCTTTTCAAATGTGTCTTCCTCCTCGAGCCTTTTCTCCCGGAGAAGTCGAATTTATTATAAAAAAAATTCTTCTAAAAAAATCACCAGTTTTCGACATGATAACCGCTGAAATAATTAGACACTTACCAAAAAAAAAACAATAATATTCCTTACTCAAATATGTTATAATGTTAAGGCTATCATACTTTCCAATCCTATGGAAATACTCCACTATAATTTTAATTCTTAAGCCTAATAAAGCGCCGAACTGTCCTTCCTCGTACAGACCAATTAGTCTTTTCCCGATCCTGTCAAAAATATTTGAAAAACTTTTATTAAAACGTATCCTACCCATAGTCACTGATGCAAATATACTACCAAACTCACAATTTGGATTTCGCAACAGCAATTCCACTATACATCAAGTGCACAGGGTAGTTGATAAAATCTCGTACGCATTAGAGGAAAAACTCTACTGTACTGGAACTTTCCTCGACGTCTCCCAAGCTTTTGACAGGGTATGGCACGCGGGTTTACTCTATAAACTAAAATATCTACTACCTAGTCACTACTACTAAATTCTAAAATCTTACTAGAAGACCGCTTTTTCTCAGTGCGTATAGGCTCTGCAATCTCCCCTCCAGCAGGAATTAATGCTGGTGTACCGCAAGGTGCAGTTACTGCCCCACTACTTTTTAATCTGTTCATCTCTGACCAACCTAACTCAAACCAAACCCTAGTCGGTGATTTTGCAGATGACAAAGCTATAATAGCTAACAGTCCTGGCCCTAACTTAGCTTTTCTCTATGTACAAAATCATCTTCACCTCCTCGAAACATGGTATAGAGAATGAGGAGTAAAAATGAATGAGAGCAAATTCACTTATTGTACTTTCACTCTTCGGCACGGCACTTGCACGACACTATTTCTAAACAACCAAACTTTACTTAATACCCAGTGTGTACGATATCTTGGAATCCACATCGACCGCCGACTTACTTAGGCACCTCATATCAGAAGCAAAATTGTCACACTCAACAACCGCCTTCGTCTTCTACGATCCTTATTAACTGCCAAAAAAGTAAAACTAACTAACAAACTATTAATTTATAAATTACTCCTAAGACCCGTCTGGACATATGGAATTCAGCTCTTGGGTGCAGCAAAAATATCTAATATCAATCATATTCAAAGATTCCAATCCAAAATTCTTCGAACAGTTTCAAATGCTTCATACTACATCTCCAATAAATCCCTCCACTCTGATTTAAAAATACCAACTGTCACCGAATTAGCCAAACTCCGTTACAAGCGTTTCAATAGCCGACTGACCCAACATCCAAACCCTCTTATTACTCAACTCTCATCTGCAACTATTCCAGGCAACCCTCAAAGAAGATTAAAACGACAGTGGTGTCGTGACCTGCTGTGATAAATTGTATATAAACGTGTAATATAGGCTAACTACTTTCCTGACGAAGTACCTCCAATGGGAGGTCTCTTCACTCTGTCATTCCTGTTGTTTTGTTTTTATTATTATATCAAATGAACTTATTGTTCTAATTTTTAACAGATTGCTAAAT